ATAAATGTGAAATAATTTGTCATAAAAGTAGCAGAATGTAAACAAAGTAGTATTTTGACTTATCAATACAAAATACTAAATCACTATTACTGTACTAATTGCCAAAAAGTAACAGATGAAAAACATTGTTCAGGTAATTGGCCAATGAGAAACTTTTTGGAAACTATAAAAGTACACCAAAAATAAAAAGATTTTGAGTAATAAAAATACATTCATTTCTGAGGCATATTATGGACCATAGAGCAAGAAATTGCCAAAAATTCACTTATTAAGTATGTGAAGTATGAAAACTTTGTGATATATAGCTTTCAAGATAATAAGCAGAAACCACTGTGACATTTAAGGCCTGTGTGACCTTGACCTTTGACCTAGTGAACCCAAATTCAAAAGGGGTCATCTAATAGTTATTACCAATCAGTATGTGGAATATGAAGACTTTGTGACAAATAGTTTTCAAGATAATCTGTGGAAACCATTTTGACATTTAAGGCCCCTGTGACCTTGACCATTGACATATTGACCCAAAAATCAATAGGGATCATCTATTAGTTATGACCAATCAATAATGTAAAATGTGAAACTTTGTGATAAATAGTTTTCAAGATACTCAGCAGAAACCATGTGGTCTACCGACTGACAGACAAACTGACCGATCCACATTACCAAAATAAAATACCCCCTCTTTTGCGAAAGGGGCATAGAAAGTTTTTAAAAGTCAGAGCAAGAACTACTATGTCAACATAATTTCAGCATATAATGGATATACTTCAATGAACTTACAGAAAAATGACCCAGTCAATACAAGTACTTTAGTCATTATAGAGATACTATATAGTGCCGGAATAGGGAATGCCTCAGCATCAACTGTACTTAATATGCTAGCCATGCAAACATAAGATAAATCTCCGCATCATTTCCTCCTTGTTAACAAATTACCAGTAGCCAGAAGCTAGTCTGGAAACCTTGTATTCAATTTGTTCACTCTATACCATACCAGACTGATTCAATCTACTTCACAAATAAATCTTTTTGTGTTCTCTTCTAATATAAGTAACTCAGATATATAATTACACCTCAATCTTGATTACTGAAGCTCTGAAAATTATTCATTCAAGCTAGGACACATTCATACACCATACTCCAGCTGTCTGTGTTAGAGTCTCAGGCTAATTCTTCAATGGATAAGCAGGCTGGCCTGTAGCTATTATTCTAGTATTTGGGTGACAGCCATAATAGGCTGTACACATTGAAAAAGTCCATACATAATCAAGATCACATTTAAAATGACATTTTTTTTTTTCAAATTTACACATGTAAAGCTTAATTCACCATATAATCAAATGTTTTCCATTCAACTGAGCTTTTCTCAGCACTTGATAGTAAATAATGTGAAATTTTCTCATTTCAAAAAGGGCGGCAATTCTTTCAAAATCCATGTAAGACTTATGGGCCAAGGACAGTGACCTAAAATTTTGTCAAATAACTGTGTGAAGTTTCAACCAATCTTTTGGAGATACCAATTTGCATGCAAAAACTTAAAGTGTGAAACCTATGCTTGGGTGAGTACGTTAGCTCTCATCTTTTCTTCGAATAGTCGAGTTAAAAAAAAAAATTATTTGTCCCAGATTTATTCACATTTAACCCATTACTTCATATACACGCCTTTTTCACCCCCCCCCCCCCTTTTTGTTGTCTCAAATGATGAAAAAATGCCTTATTTAGGCCCCAAACACTTGTTTTTGTTTGAGAAATGTTGTTAAAAAAAGTGACCTCTTTTTCGGCGCGGCCCCTCAATCAAAAGATACATCAGGGGGTTGCCAGAAGGGGGATGTGCCCCCTTCTGTTTGGGGGGTTTGAAGGGGGGCGGAGTCCCCCTCATCGCCAAGAAAATTTTGGACTTGTGAGAGGCTGTAAATGACCCCAGATTGATCATAAGGTAACGTGTAACCAACGCTGAAAAGCATTTGACTCTATCTCAATCCATTGAGAAGTTGCAGCACTTTGAAATCAATTTTGATGGAAAAAATCAACGCAAAATAGTGATTTTTGGCAATTTTGAGATGTCCCCTCGTTGCCATGGTAACAGAAAATTTAAGCCTGAGCATGTTGTTGCAAGGGCAATGGTCCAGTCAACATTTGTGCCAAGTTTGATTAGTGTTGAAGCAGTTTTTATAGTATTATAGCAATTTGAACTTGTAACGGGAGACTTTTCAATGAAAACAGCCATTTTTCACAAAATGCTCATGAAGCAATGGGTTAAATTTTGTTCTCCTTTCTCACTTAGAAAAAACAACAATTCATGATAGAATCAGAAATCAAATTACATGTCTTGTCATGCAGACTTTGTTGATTAAACATTATAATTTGTCAATGATCAATGAACAAAAAATTGTGTACTCTGAAAAATTCCTCTTAACTTTATTTTCCTTTTGATAAATGAGTTAATTGTTTTTCATTCCATGGTACATTAAAAACATCTTGCAATCTGCATTTTGTCCTCAAAAATTGGTATCTCATAGTGTACAATTTCTTTGTTTTATTTACTTTACTATGGTAACCCGCAAAAAGCTGTTAAACATTATGATGATAAAAATCAAATAAAATAAAATCTGACAGAATCAACCGATATATATTTTTTTCAATTAAAATTTAGTTGCCAGTTTTTAAATTTAAATTTTTGTTGCTCATTTTTACAATACAAATTTAGCTGCTTGTTTCATTTAAGTTATAGATAGATAGAAACTTTACAAATAATCTTTGGATATTACAGCATTTTTCCATCTTTCACACCCACACAATCTCATAAGTGTATATTTATATAATTATAAAAATCAAATGTTTCCATATAATATCACAATGCATTCAAAATTTTAGCTTTTAACAAGGAAGTCAGCCTGAGCCTAATATTCCTATGAATTTAGCAGAAAATCTGTTTTCATAAAATCCCAGGCTTATTTTTGATCTTATGATAGATCTCCCTAATAAACCTAAGATTGAGCACTATTCACCAAATTTGCCATGTGAAATGGAAATATGTTCACCATGGGACCAATACAGCCAGCCAAACACCAATATATATTATACAAAGGTATAGACTAAATTGCTTAACAAGAATTGCTTTCCTGTTTAAAATAGACATTAAGTGGAACAGATGGAATTTTAATATACTTATTTGTATCAGTTTTACATGTGGTGATACCTCATTAAATACTAGGGGGATTCCACAAATGACACATATATCTGGAAAATTCTAAAATATCAATTTATAATACAACAAGAAATAGCTAATCTTAGTGACAAATGAATGTATTCTGTGCATAATTTATATAACTACATGTATATATAATAGTACATTCACAAATAGCAATTTTTTGGTCCTTTAATTCAGTCAATGTTCATAGTTAGAATCTCAAACACAAAAAGGTGGAGTTATTTCTAACTCATTAAACATGTACACAAAGGTAAATGTATGTACTGGAATTTGTAAATTTATAGATATACAAGAAATGTGTCCATACGATACAAATGATATTTTTTCCTCCAAGTACTACCTTCTTCTAGTTGTTGTGCTAACCTTTGAACCTAAGGAAGGAATCTGAGCAATGTTTGGACAATTTATCAAGGAATAATATTAAAACTGAGAGGACACTGCTGACACACATAATTTTACCTTCGACCTCCTACAGCAATATTAAACTTGAGTGTATGTAAAGTGGGTCTTTGGCATGACACAACATCTAACGTATGTGAAGGCATATGCAAAACAGCAAGTAAAGTTATAAGCCAGACAGGACTTGAACTCGACCTCCAAGAACAATAATGACCTTTAACCTAAAGAGACGAACTTGCATCTACTTATGGTGTTCAAGTGTACCAATCTGTTTTGAAATCATTATCATGATTGCAGGAGCTATGGGCATGACACACACTCCAATTGAACTTAATATTCAACACTCAGCTAGTCCAATGCTGTGACCTTGACATAGAGCTAAGGACACATCATTCAATTATGGTTAAATATTGTATAAATTCAATTTTGAAATCCCATTATGCATGCAGAAATTATTGACCTGACACAAATTCCATCTCAATGCACTTAAGACTATAAAACAAACTACACTAAGTTCAATCCCTAGCTGTGACCTTCACCTTTGCCCTCAGGAACTTGATCTTGCACTGCAACTTCATTAAAGTGGGTATAAAAATGCTACAATGAGTATTACAATGATAAATGGGTTACACCATGAATTCGAGGAATAAATTATTACTAATGTCACATGACCCGAGATAGTAAACAACTTCATTGACTGAATCTTTTCTCGGAAACACAATTTAGCATTTTCTATACCATAATGCATTAGAGATTAACAGTCTTAGTCACAGTCTGCTCCGAGAAATAACTTCTGAAAAGTCGGTAACTACCTAACCTTTTTACACTGACACTATATGCAAACACAGTGATAACTTAGTTACCCATCGGTACTTAAATTCACTGTCTCTTGTGAAAACTTAAAACAACAAATCTTACAGCGGTTTAATGCATCATAATTTTAAAACAAAATTGTTCTCACTACAAAGAAATAGGTGTTTGAACAGATTAAAAATCTAATGGAACCAGTCACTAACTCAACTTTATTATTTAATTTAAGATATTATTATCCTACAAAATGCTTAAAAGGAAGATCTTTTAGTATTGTACAGCTTGCAGAAAACTTGCATACACTAATTAGCTCTCTTCTTGATCGCTGATTACATTCAGGCATCAAAGTTCGCTGTTGTCCTTTTTTCTTTTAACAGGCTTTTGTTCAACTATCCGAGTTCAATTCTAATTTTTTCTTTAAAAAGTTTAAGAAATGTAGAATTGAAAAACCTGGTTTTTGAATTCTAAGAAGGGATAAAACCACATAATAAGGATGCTTGTAATAAGCAGATGCATCTGGTTAGAACTCAATTTACAGTGAAGGACACTGACACAATTATGTTCCTTTAAGTATATTTACCTGTGTGTAAGATGGGCATCTAGCTCTGAACGGGGAAGAACTTCCTCACAGTAGTCAACATTCGGACATACAACCAGCAACTTGTCCAATAACCTGAAATCATATAGAAACATTTATTTACAATAAAATGTTCAATAACTAAAAATAACAAAAAAACATTTTTATATAATAACCTGATAATTCGCAATTAACAAGTTTTACATTCAATATTTAAAATCATATATGCAGATGCTATCTAATAATTTCTTAAAATGTGTGAATTTACCATTACAGTGTAAACATAGCTTATGAAATCTCTAAAGATCTTAACTGGAGCATAATTAAAATTTAACAAACACCCTCCATCCCCCCTAAAAACACATAAATAAATGATTTTTTTGGACTTAAGAGATAAATCTGTTCAAAGCCACTTATAAAACAAAGCCTGCTCTGACAGAAATGAGGAAACTTGTAACAGCAAGCAGATTTTAACATCCCTCATTACAAGACATTTGTAAAATCTATTGCACTATAATTATCATCCAATGAGAGAGCAGCTTCACAATAACATGCAATTGTATTGACAATGACTGTATAATTACACAGATCACAATTAAAGCTTTCTGTGAAATTTGTTTTCTTTTATTGGACTTTATCACCAATTTAGAAAATTTATTGTTTTACAATTTTCTCATTTTCCTACTCTTCAGTGAATAATTTAACAAACATTCGCCCCTATAATTTTTTTTTCCAGGAGACTAAATTTTATTTTTTAATTAAACATCTGAAAGAAGCATCTTTTAAATACATAATTATGAACATTATTTTATGAATCTTACTTCATCAACTTCTTAAGAAATTATATTGAGCCACAATCAGGTCTGGTGGCCAAATTTTAACAAGGCACCCTCAATGCTGCCTTTATTAAATTTTATCCCCAGCAGCCAAAGATTTTTTAACCTTTGTTTGACCTTTAAATAAGACCTTGACCTTGTAAGTAGCGGTCTGGTTTTTGAGCTCTACTGATCTGCTCATAATGGCAAGTCACTTTAACAACTTTATACCAGTTAATAATTTATAATGTAGACACAAAATGTGGAAGTGTGACCTTGACCTTGAGTAAAGCAACCTGTTTTTGCACTATAATGGTGATAATTTGTGACAAGTGATTTTAAAAGTTGTTCAGTAGTTTAAAGGTTTAATAATTATATGCAGCAGACACAAATTGTAAACATTTTATATTTGACCTTTAAGAGTGACCATGTTTCCATGGCAACTGAATTCTGTATAATAGTATGTTATACTACAGTACATCTGAATCTCAACAAGAATCACATATACTGAGAAAAACCTATTTTCTGAGGATTTATGTATGTTTTTCTCTAATATAGTTTCTACTATGTCTCTCCTTTCATGGAATAAAGTAAAGAAAGTTCTTTATTTGATCTTTGGTAGCCTAATCTTCTATTGATGGCTTAACCATCAATGGTTTTTCTTCTATACATAAAGTTTTTGAGTCCTACAGGATATAACTGCCCATTTTGACCGTCTGCTGACCTAAACATAGAGGATATCCTGTATGCAGTATTTACATTAATTCTAGGAACAACAGTGGTATAACATATATACTATAGTGATTGCATTGACCTATGGAAATTTAGCATTAGTAAACAATCCAGAAATTGGGAAAAATTGAATAATCCGAAAAATAAAAATGGGATCATTCTTTGAAAATCCGTAAGTTTTTGTCAGTTATTGAATCAAATCCATGAATAATAAAAAAATCATCATTCAATAATTTGACCTTAACAATTAAGGTCATTGAAAAGTAAAGGTCAAATTTTGAAGTATGAATGTCAATAAATATCAAAGTTGTTATGATTTGAAACAAAATCTGGACATGATCATCATAGTCCAAATGAATAAGTCAAATTTATATTACAAAAAAATAAAATGATTTCTTGTTACTTCACAGAAGCATTTTGTGTTTATAATAATAATATTCCCTTACAACAGCATAATATGACATATTTCTGTTTCACAATTGTCAAAAATTTACAATTTATATAATAATTTTTTCTTCAACATTTTTCTTTAAAAAATTCTTTCAAAAAATTAATATAGTACATGTAAAACTTAAACAACTATACTTACTTTGAAGGACATAAAAGTAAAGACCCTTCTTCACTGTCACTCCTGTGCATTATTAATATACTATTACTTCACAGGAAGTAAACTTACATCACAACATAAATCCATGTTTAATGTTTTACTTCACATTCCTCAATTCAAAAATAATCACAGTTTTTATAATTATGTACAAATTGTTACTTCACATTTTCAAATTGCAGTTCTGTCACAGTCTCTATACATGACTATAAAAAATTATCAGTTTTATTCCATATTTTGTTAACTTATACAGTTTCACTTTCTGTTAAGCAAAAGATGAATAAGTTCCTATTAAATTATACCCCTTTATAATCTGCACTACGAGACTCAGGTTTATCATATTTCATGCAAAATAAGCCTGAAACATTTATGTTTTAGTAAATTTATTTCCTTAATTTAAGTGTAATCAGATAATATTTATTACCCACTGATATATTATACAGTATAATTCAATACCTGTTAGATCTTCATTTTTAAGGATTTAAAGTGTAGAATAAATTTTGGTAATGAAGTAACTTTCTCAAAGATTTACTTGTCAATATGGTCATTTTTAAAAAAGCAACAATTCGGCAATTTTTTTACTTATTCACATTAGTTCTAGCTACAATTTATTGCTCTTGAACGAACAGTTGAAAAACTTATAAGTCTGGACCTACATAAACCAAGTAGTAAGTGTTTCTGCAGACTGGTTCAAACCATGCATGCCCCTGATGATACGGCTGTGGGTTCGAATCCGGTCAGGAAGTACTTCGGATTTTTCAAGTTAGGAAACTATCCAGCTAACTTGTAGACGGTCTCAGTCACCAGTTTAGGAACATGACTGTTTAATACCAGTTCTGTTCTTGCTAAGAAATACGAGAGTCCCAGGAAAATTTATTGTATTTAGAACATGACTGTTCTAGAACTGTTCTGTTCTTACTAAGAAATATGAGGGACCCTTTATTGTATTTAGACTATTGTCCATGACATGTTTTTAAGAACTTGTCTTGAACAATTAGCATTCTTGAAATCTGTCTGATAAACCATGTCTTAAAATATAATTGACCTTTTAAAAGTACCATTCCAGTACCAAATTGTTCTTAAACTATAAAGTTCTTGAACAATCCAAGAATATTTCTTGAAAATTATGTTACAAAATTTTAACTGAGTTTAAGAAGATTTTGAGCAATTCTGTTGTTAAATGTACAAATTAATTATTTTATCAACAATGAATATGCCTGCATTTTTGTGTCTATCTTATCTATATTATATCATCTATATAATTTCCTTGAAAAGTTTAATAATTTTACTCTATATCTGTAGCCCCATGCAATGTCTACAAAATATTTTAAAATATTTTATCCCAGAATAACCTGCTAAGTTTGTGTGTAATGGAATTCACAGCTATAAGCTTTGAACTTGAAAAAGTCAATTAAAAGATGGAGGATTATTATATAAGTGCTGATGTGAAAGCCATATGAAAGCTTGCCAGTAGCAAAAACTACAATCACTTTCTGTTCTCAAGCAAATTACGAGTACTGAAGAGTTTTCCTAAAACACCACATTTGCAATATTTCAACTTTAAACTTTTTTTAATTGTATACAAAGTACCTGAAAATGAATTAAATGATCTTAAAAAATATAAAAGGCTGCTTTTAAGACACTATAGCAACCACTTTAAATCAAATGCCAGGCATTCTTTATTATGGAAGTATATGACCTGCACAGTCAGATCACGTCCAATGAATCTAAGTTACATAAAGATCAAAGGTAATATGACATTTAGCTTCAAAGACAAACTTCAGTTAATATTTGCTTCATCAAAGTACAATTCTTCCTTGCCAACAATCTTTTTTTTTTTCAATTAAAAGTTCACATTGTTCATATTCAGATATCTCATTATTATATCATATACCACCAAAGGCTCTGTGACTTTCGACTTTTAATGATTACATAGAGGATATTTGTTTGTTTCAGTGTAAGATCGAAAAATATTTCACCGAGTGAACACCAGATGCAATATTTTCCACGAGTGCAGTAGCCACAAGTGAAAATATAATAGCTGGGGTTCACGAGTGAAATATTATTTGATCTTACATGTAAAACAAACAAATTTTCTGTTTATTTCATGATTTTTTAACGATTTTTACACCATTTTACTTATTTTTGCCGCGTAACGTCATGCTCTTATCTTCATGACGTCATCAAATAATGACGTCACAATGTTGAAGCAAAATATAATTCCATGATTATTTTTAGATTTTAGATATTTTTCAGCACAACGTTCGTAAATATTTACGAACTACAGTTATCACGTACATTTTTTATTATGATTGACTACATTTCCGCTGAGAAAAATATTCATTAATGATAAATATTTTATTTTTACGCCAAATATAGTTCGGCTACTGTGAAATTATATTTGGTAATCATTACTGTGAAATTATCAGAATATAATTAACCGTTATAATTCAGTAATCTACTGCAAAACATGTAATAAAGTAAAACATTCAAAGAAAATCTTAATTTCACAATTTTAAGCACTAGTTACAATAACTATATTATTAAATAAGTGAATTGTTTTACAATTTTCATATTAATTTTACATATCCTGACTTTCAAAAAATTTGAATTTGACCAAAGAGAAGTTTTCTGTATTTCATAATAAACCCATTCAGTATAACATTAAAGGCAACAATCAAGTGACCAACAACACTATTTTCTTATTAATGAAAACATGTCTTATACATAACAGAATCAACTTTACAGCGAAACAATTATCACATTGCTGCAGCATTTCGATTTCATCCAAGAACTCAATATAATCACAGTCATAAATTACTTGTCCATCAAACTTAACTAATGCTAAACATCATAATATAACAGTGCAGATTCCATCTAAAATGACATTATACCTTCCGGCAATTAGCAGGAAAACTTTTCCTAGAATTATGATTCCATTATAC